ATATATATTTATTTATTTATTTATTTATTATTGCTAGTTTATTTTACTATTTTTTGTGTGTTTTGTCTTAATTACTATTTCAGAATAAGTGTTTGTTTATTCATAATGCTTAGATTTACTTATTTATTACACTATTTTTGTGTATTATCAAAACAGTCATTAGGAATGTAATTTTACTAGTAAAATTACATTCCTAAATCAAAAGAATTTTGATTTAGGAATGTAATTCAAAGACTCAAAAAAACCAAATAAAAGTACTGTATAGGAACAGACCCAATGCTACATTGGGTCTGTTCCTCTACAGTACTTTTATTTGGTTTCAGCATAACATGAAAATCCTGCCTCATGTAAATGTGTCATTGTAAAAGGAAGTAAAACAAGAATAACTAATTTTCACATACTGAAGCAAAAAAAAACTTTGGACTTTATCTGGATAATGCAGACTATCATTGTTTTGACAGATCTGAAAATAGATTTTGCATTTTTATGTGAATGAGCATTTTGTCTTTTAGCGACTACATGGACCAAAAAAATAAGGGCAATGTTGCCAGGTTAGGCAAGTTATTGTCACATTTTAAGTCAATTGATGATATGGTGCAATTTTTTCAATCTGGTGATATTTTTTATGCATACAATAAAAATTAAAACAAACCCACTCAAAATTGTAGTCCTACATTATATTAATAAATACAATTACAAATACATAAACAGGTATCTCAAAAGAACTTTCAAACACACTGCAACACTATCTTTTATTTCAGGTTAAATGTGGGGAAAAAAATGCAAAATTGTTACAAGCTTCATCAGATGCTCTTTTTTACTGTGATAAACTTCTCGTATAAGCTATTTCAGATCTAGGTACTGAACAATACATAGTATTCTGTATATCAAAATATTTCTTATTGTTACTTTAAAGCTGTAAGCTAAAAATATGCTTTTTGTTAAAAGCTACACTTTTAAGTAAATCTGGCAATACTTTGGTAAGATAACTGACTATGTTTACAATCATTCACCTTATTTTTATGAAATAAAAAAATTTAGTTAATTTTAGCTTTATCCTATTCATGGACTTCAGCAATATTATATACACATCGTTAGTTTTCTGTAAAGATTTTTGTCATCTGAACACTTCAGTAAAGAATTCATATACATCAAATTCTGTTTTTACACAAGTTCCCTCCCTCCAAAAAATGAAAATCCATTTTAAAAAAAATACTGTATATATAGAAAAATGAAAGATTGGTTCCAAACCTTAAAGCTAAGTACACCACTTGTAACTAAACAAATTAATATATTTTTGCAACAAATTTTTGTTTATTTGATAATAAAATGCTTGTAAAAACAAATTTTTCTTGTATGCATGTAAGTGATTATAACTTTATGCAACCAAAATTGTTATGGTTTGTTATGAAGCTTTCCATTCAACATTCTTTGCTTGTAATTTGTAACTTGTAAAGCTTGTAACAACTACTAGTCTATACTAATATTATAAAGAGGTAATGTTTGTAAGTATGTAAGTAAGTAAGTTTGTATGCAGCAGATAATCTCTGAAACTACTCATCCGATTTCAAAAATTCTTTCACCAATATTTAGAATGGAACCTCAGGGTGGACATAGGCTGTATATTATTCCGTTAAACATTCATATAAATTAAAATATATAATCTAGGTTAAGGCTTTTACGTCCAACAGATGGCGCTACAAGTACGACGCCCTAAGTTTGCTTTTCTGTAAAAATGAATTAAAGCGGATCATCTTCTATCTATTTATATAAATAAAAATGTAATGTTCGTTTGTTCCTACCGATTCATTTGAAATTTTGACACAACGCTGCATTTGAATATGCAAGTGTTTTTATATAATATACATGTCGAAATTCAACCCCACTGAAGGGAGATGGTTAGGATTAAGGCTTATGGTAAAGAACTCTACTTCTATTTATACTATTTTAGATGCGGGTTTTTGCATTTTTGTTTGTGTTTTAATAGGGTATGTCAACAGAATGTACACTAACAAGAAACTTTTCGATATTCCCCCCGCGGGGGAGAGAGACAGGATTAAGGCTTACCGTGAAGAACTTGTCTTCTATTATATTATATTAGATGCGGGTTTTTGCGTTTTTGATTGCGTTTTAATAGGGTACGTCAAGAGAATGTACACTAAGAAGAAATTTTTCGAAAAATTCCCCTCCCCACGGGGTAAGTGTTATATATTTATAATAGATACATTTTGAGCCACAACAACGTAGCAGGGTCTGCTAGTATTTTATACAACAGGGTCCAGACTTATCATTTCTAAAAGGTATGTTTTATCATAACATGAAGAGATAATTTGTCTTTAGAAATTATAAGTAAATTTTCATATTCTGTGAGTACTTGCTAATACAGATTGACACGATCATTAAATTTATTGCTTAAAACCAGACAATAAAATATACCAAATAAAGTATTAAGAATTTTTGAATTTGCATAGATATTTAGATTATTGCATAAAATTACTGAGTATATCAATTTAAAATGACATTACTTAGAAGAATTACAACTTCTCACAAATTTCATGCTATTTTAACAGAATGGACTGATTTGGTTCGTATTATATAATATTCATCTCCTACATCTAATATTACATTTGGGACAAATAATGGCAAACAGCAGAGTTCGTAACAGATGCCAGTTTCTATGTGGCCCTTGTTGAAACAAATGTCAATATCTAATAACCAGGACTCACTTCTCAGATATTGACATTCGTTTCAACTAGGGCCACATAGAAACTAGGATCTGTTACAAATCTGGCTATTTACCATTATTTATTCTGGTAAACTCTGCCGACTCTCTTTCATACAAGGTGGCTGCCTTCCATGCACTGACAAGACTGGCCTTTATACACCATACAAATTGGGAAGACACTTTAAGAGCTAAAACATCTGGAGGACATAGCTATAAAGCATGGGTATAGAAGGGATTTAATATGTAATTTAACTCATGCCTATTCCAACCAGCGCTCCTTATGAAACAACTCAACAACTAAGGAGTTTCCAATAAAAATTACATTTGTTTCCATTATAATAATGTTGTTATTTTCTTTTCACTTATACAGACTTTATTATTATTTTTCTGATGTATGCTTAAAAATTAAAATAAAATTTGTAAGCATTTTTTGCTGTTTTTTTTTTTAATTACTCAAATTAAATATTTGACCCACAATTTTGAATTACTAAATATTGAATTCAACATTTTCAGAAAAATGTTTGCTGTCACTGTTCTACAGGAATTAATACAAGTTCCCCTACTTACAAATGTTCAATTTACAAACAATTTGACTGTATGTCTAAACTTTAAATTTTGTGCAAATTCTGAAGTTCTCTTTCCACTCATGGGTGGTGTTGGAAGTCAGAATTTGGCCAGTAATAAATAATAAATTTTTAATAATTAATGTGGGCTTATTTATATCATGTATCATTATTTTTGGTTTTCATGCAAATTCTAGGTTCCATTGCCATTGCAAGAAATTGGTAATATTAGAGTAACATTATTTTTATATCGTTTGCAATTTTTATGAACTTTTACAATTATGTTTCAAAATATAATAGTAAATCTAGCAGTGGAGATAAATGCAAGAAGTGTCACTCTTTTAACATAGAAACTAAATTGAACATTATAAAATTAGGTAGAAAAACAAAGCACATTTAAAACATCTGCTACAAAGTAGTAGCAAGCAGGTAAACAAGCATAATGTATGCTATTAAGTACATTGAAGGTAACTAATTCAGAGCTGCCATGCAAAGATAACAAAAACATTCAACTAACTTTGAAAAAGCAGCAAAAAATTTAATAACAAACGTTTTCGGACATTTTTAACGATTTTCTTCAAGTACAATATGTTAACATTCAGATGGTAAAATTTGAATTTGTATTCTAGATTATTATTATCCAAACTACCTTTGTGGCATTCCATTACATATTCTACTAACAATAAACATAAAAACATTCAAACACTAACAATAAGTGGTTATTCTGTGTACAAATGTACTTTTTAGATTGATGTTCCACTTACAACAAAACCTTGGAAACCTAACCTGTTCATAAGTAGAGCAGCAAGCACCTGTACAATGAAATTTTCAAGAAGATTAAATATAGTTCATAGATGCTTAATCAAAAATTCTTCAACATTAGCTAACAATGTCAATATAGAACTGTAGAGCAGTTCTAAATACAAAGTTTCTATATACAATTTTTCTGAGTTCTGATATTTTTCCACAGATTTTATCCAATTTTTGCTTTATAGACAACATATGTTGATGAATTTTACTTTGCATATTC